CTCGGGCCGCTTAGAGTCCAGGAGAGGAAACACATTGCATTAGGAATTATACACTAATTATTTAATTACAGTTTCCACAGGAAACGAAACCAGAAGGAGGAAGTCAGAGATACCACCAGCGGCTGCCATGCTGAAGAGAAGAACACGGGGGTCTGAAAGACGAGCTTTTGATTCTTTCTTAGCTTTGTGGTGTCCAGCCCTCTCTGTTGTCAGAAGATGAAATAGAATTAAGGTGCGGAGCGTGACCTGCATATCCTAACGGTTATAACCACGTGTTCAGGACTTGGAGCTGGGTTTGAGTTCTGGCTCCGACATTTACTCTCTGTGTGGTCTGGGGGAAGCTACTTAAATGTTTTTAGCATCAGGTTCCCTGATGCTAAAATGGGGGGGGGGCAGTTACACTGGCTGAATGGTTGATGATTCAAAGGCAAAATGCCTGTAGAGTTGTTGGGAAATGTTAGCTATTACAGTCACCCCCAAACTCCAGCTAGAAAACCTTTTTGGACCTGTTCATGTAGAAGTTCGTAGCAGCCAACTCACCTCCTCCAGGGCAAGAGTTAACCACTGGTTAGTTCTGAAGCAAAGCTCTCAACTTTCAGAGCTTACAAAATCTCTCTGGCTCCTGACACAGGGCGTTTGGGGGGTGGGGGTGGGTGTTAAAGGACCAACCAAAACTATTCGAGTTACCATGGCTACATAATTAAGAACCTGTGAATTTCACAAAATTTCAAAAAATCTGAGACAATCTGGCATGATACTTTTTTTCATTTCCGTTCACAAATAGACTAGAAATGCACATGAAAGGGCTTTTCCTCACACAGGGTGCTTTCAGTATGGGCATTTTGCTTTTATTCCTTGATGGAGGGTCAGAGGATGCAATGATAGTGCCGAATGAGGTTGCTGCTAAATAGAGGCCAGAAATATGAGACAAGGCAGAAGGAAACAGAAGAACAATTCTAGGCTTAAGGGCATTACTGAAAGAAAAGTCTGGTCACCAGGGTTAGAATCAGGTAGGCACACAGACTCTTCCCCTCTACCAAGAAGCCACACGGAGTGCACAGCCCCTTTCCGGTAGGCAAGGCTACTGCTGCCTTTTGTTTGGATGGGATTACGGCCTGGAGATGGCAGGAGTTTGATGGGGTTTTCCCCCTTGGAAGGGAGCCTTTGTTTCCTGTTTCCCACATGCTGAAGATCTTCAAATTGGCCGGGTTTAGATGCACGGGAATCCCCTGTGATCTTCTCAAAGCAAGAAGTGATTGAACCATCACCCTCATCTCTAAGACTTCAGGGGAACTGGGGGCTTGGAGCCTACAACCCTTTATTTCCTGATCGTCCTGAGATTCACTGCCCCAGGGCCGGGCACACTGATTTCACTCTGTCCCCCCATCAGCCCTCTTACACCAGGTGCTCGGTTCACCTGGCTCTCGGAGAGGGTGCAGGTACAGGGACGGTGCTGCTTCTCCAAGCAGAGTTCCAGCTTGCAGAGCACAGCAAAGTCTGTGCCTCCTTTCCTGGGATGAAAACCAACAGTAATAACTTGACTGCTACCTTTAGTGTCATTCTTCTCTCTCTCTCTCTCTCTCTCTCTCTCTCTCTCTCTCGGCTGAAATTTGAACTTTCCTGTTTCCAGGCAGAGAACTGCACCACTATAAGCTGACCTTTTCTGAGCACCAGGGAAAATGATATATGCAGGGCTATTCTGTCAGGTCAACAGATACCAAGGCCAGTCGGGGGCATCTCTACGGTCTGGCTTTCGCTCTCTGTCCCTAAAATGGAGTGAGTGATTTATAATTTGCAGTGTTAGAGTGAGAATTAGATGAGGAACGAGAGACAAACCCTCCTATCATGCATGTGATACACAGTTAGCCCTCAATGTTTCTTACTGTGTGTATGTGTTTTATCCTCACCACAAGGAATTGTGTATTTGGGGTGAGCTCAATGTCTGGTGCCTACTTTCTACTTTTCAAACTAAAGTGACTTCAGTGTGGAGGGCCTTGTGCTTTACACCAGCTAGACAGTTTTCCCTGTAAGAAAACATGGCTGTGTGTCTACAGAAACCCAGGGGAAGGAGGGAATAGGTGTTCTTAGTTCATTGTGAGCCTCAGAAAGGGTAGGATTAAGGGGGACGTGTTTTTCATTCTGTCAGCTTGAATTCCCTTTCCAAATTCCATTCTGGTTATATGATCAGGCTACTGCTGTATTTATGGGTGGCCACAGTCTGGCTGGAGGGGTAGATTTAGTCAGAAAGGAAGTTTTTTTTCCTTCTAAAGGCAGGGAGCGCAAGAAGCAGCAGCATTCAGAAGGAACACGGTGGAATGTGCTTTGGGGATCATCAGGACCTGGGTCTCAAAACTGGCTCCATCACCCTGTGTTCTAGGGCTCCAGAAACATTATTCATCTTCTCTACTCTTCAGCCTACGTCTTTGCCCAATCGGCATGGTCCGTTTCTCAGAGATGTCCTGTGGATGTTTAGTAGTTGATGTACATAAGAGTAGACTCTCCATATATTTTGGCTACCGGTATCATTAAAATTAATTAAAATAATTTTCCTTTGTTAAGCATTTTATACTTCCCACATTCGTGGCTACTGTCCCACTCGGGGAATAGTATTGATTCCTGTTCCAGGTGGGCCCCGGAGGGGCAAACATCCCCACTGAAGTGCAAGATTGCGGCCTGAATGTACTCTGCCTTGCTTCATGATTTTTAACTGCATTTGTGTCATTCAAGGTTCTGTGGAAATGTCCCAAGGGCTGAGAACCATGGGGTGAATTTCGGACCCTCCCCTCCCACTTCAACCAAAGTAGCCCCACATTTGCCGGTCATATTGGAGTTCTGCCATCAATTTCATTTAATGAATACTTCCACGGCTAAATATAAGTTTGAAAAACACTGTCTGAGAACATGAATTTCAGATAAGTCCTTATAAATTGAGAAGCAAGAAAACTAAGAAAAAATCTCCATTTACTGAGCCCCTACTATGTGTCAGGTACTGAGTCTGCTATATATGATCTCGTCTGGACGTCACAAGAGTCCTGAGAGATACAGATTGTCATTCTCTTTATATGGACAACAACACTGAGGGCTGGAAGATCAGTAACTTCCTTGGGGGGGAGGAGACAAGCAGCTAGAAGATGAGATAGGGAAGCTAGGTTTTTCAAACAAAGCACAGACAAAAAAAAAAAATCTTTAAAGACTGTAGAGTTGGCAATACCCCTTTTAATCCTCATCTGATGCACACTGTTCTGAGCAAACCAGAGATTATTCATATTGCGCATGAGTTTCTTCCCCAAAACGCCATCACTTACCTGAAACACGTATGGTCAAAGCACAATCACATCTACGGCAGTGGGCTCAGATGCACACGAAGCCAGCAAACTTCCCAGAGATTTCTTTAGTGCTGAACCTGAAATTCCTCTCCCCAGCTCTCAGTTGGGCTTACCATATTGAAGGACAAGGCAGAAAGCTGGCTGGGGTGGGCAGCAGGTTTTATTTCTAAAGCACATATGGGAAAGCTTGATAAAAAAGGGGGAAAGGTCCACAAGACATGAAAAAGAGGCATTCATTCTTCAGGTGGGGCTCCCTGTCCCGCTCTCACTCTGGATGGAAAGCATTTCCAAGGAGTTCCCCGGCAGCATCGTACTTCATAGCTGACAGCTTTAGAATCTGCAAACGCCCAAACTCAAAACCTTGTGCATTCTCGAGTCAGAACTCGACATTTACATCCAGCCCTGGGCTGCTCCCTTTCCCCTAACTTGTGCCAAAACAACCTCCTGCTTATAAAATACAGCCAAGTCTCCGACCTGTCAGCCCACTGAGACACCCTCAGACCAGTGCGAGAGAAAGAAGGGGATTTGGGGTAGAGGGTGAGGAACACATGAGAAACAATCCAAGATCGCCTCTTTTAACTTCCAAGGTGATGGCAGTGTTTGACAAATAACAATGATTATCCCAGCTTCTGCTTACTGAGCACTCACTCTCCCAAATGCGTTATGCCCCGTTTCCTCCTCATAATGACAACAGAAGTTATTGTCCCCATTTTAGATGAGTGGACACTGAGGCTCATAAAGGCTGCAGATTCTCATCTTTGATGGTGGTGGTGGGGACACCAAAATGACTGACCCTTGCTTTCAAAACCCGAGCTCTGAATCCCCTTACAACACCGAAGAAAGAGAGGAGCCCCCGTGCCCTTCTCAGAGTCTGCCAGGTAGAGCTTCCCAACCCTGGGGCAAGGGGTTTCTCAGGGCTTTCTGTGATGAGAGATGAGGAGGGGGAGGTGATTCTAGAAAGATTCGTGGTACTGCTGGCTCTAAGCACACCCAGACATGCACAGGTACCCAAGCCCAAGGATCAGTGAATCGGGAGATACCCACAGGGAGTCCCCCTGCCCTTCAGAATGGAAGCTGGTGTCCACCCCTCCCACCTCGTAGTCTGGCCCTAGGAGCCCCCTCCTCCCTCTGTCCTCCAGCCCTCATCCCTTTCTGTGTCTTACCACAGGGAGGATGTGGTGGGATGAGGGATGGATACAAAACTTTTGTAAACTGCTAGGTGAGCGCTGTTTAGATATACAGTTTTATTGTTCTCTTTATCATCCTCTATCAACTTTCCCTTGACCTATCCCAGAGTAAGGCCATGAATGATCTCCACCTTCAAATTCTACTTCTCTCCCCGTCAAACAAAAATATTCACAGGTGAATCAGCCAGGCAGGGAGTTAAGAGAAGATTCTTACTTTTCCTCTGGAGAATGCAGAGATAAAAACTTTACAGAAAGTTCCTTCCACATGCGACTGTTCGCAGAACTCAAACAAACACCCCAAATCTACAAGACTGGAAGGGGTAAGTAGAAGACAGTCAACGTGCATCTGATCGTCACAAATACCCCATTTTGCCAGCAGCGAAGACACAGCAAAAGTTCAACAATTATGAACCCACAACTCCTTTGGTACCAGGAATGCAAACAGTGTGCCATAATGATCTTTGGCGATGGGGTGAAACCCACTTACCTTTCCGGAGTTGGGAAGGACCTAGATCCTTGAATGAACCGGCTGCATGGAGTACCTGGCTGTGAGCCGCGGGGCTCCCACATGCGCTGCCCGCAGGGTCACCCCCAGCCGCGCAGTCTTTGTGCGGAAGAGAGGCCGGCCGGTGCGTGTCTGTGCTCCGCTCGCGGGACAGCGTGTGACAGTAGGCAGGCTGCGACCAGCGCAGCCAGCTTTGGCTGGCTTATATAGCAGCTCCTTCCTCTGTAATGGGACGCCTCGCCTCCAGACATCCTTTCCTACTTTTTCAGTTGGTGAATTAAAGGAACAGCCCTCCCAGCGGAACAGGGTTAGCTCATGAAAGACGCACTCACTCCCTGCTGCCTGCCAGGAAAGGAACCCATTTGCATACAATTTATGGCAAAAGTAGGAATTCCAGCTCCCCCCCCCCCCCCCCCCCCCCCCCCCCCCTTTCTCAACCCCCAACCCAGACCCAGAGCAGCTGTTAGCTAGGTGTGATTTTTGCTTTGCTCCCCAAGTGGATTTTCTAACTGTGAGACAGAAGCCCAGGGAGTGAAGGGGGAGCAGGATCGGCAGCCCTGGCTCTGCTACTCAGGCAGGCTGGAAATGCGACCTGGGGCTCGCCTGGGCTCTGGGCAGCAGCTGCCCAGTGGCACCACCGAGAGGAAAGGGGCCGAGCCCAGTTCCTGGAAAGAGGAGATAAAGCCCTTCAGAAGCCTGGGGCTTTTGGGTTTCGCTGGGAGGGTAGAGAGATAACCCAGGATTAGTTCTCAGCAGGTGGGGCAGTGCGGGGAGCACAGATGTGGCCGGTTTGGTCTTCTGGGGGAGGGAGCCATGCCCGGCTGCCCAGAGGCTTCACCATCCCTGCCCCAGTGCCCTACCAGGGGCAGCTTTTTGGACAATGTCCATGCCCTGTGAGTGGGCCTGTCTTGTAAGTAGCACCTCCTGGGGATAGCTCTCTCAAGTTTTCTTCTTGGTGCTCAGTGTGGAAAGGTGTCCAGCACAAAGCGAAAACAAACAAACAAAAAAGGTAACAACTTAATCTTTGAGACATGAGCAGCGCCTTTGCTCTCCAGCCTGCTGAGGATTCTTTCCAAGCTCTGAGTCATCCATTCGTTTGGTGGTTAGCATGCACTGAGGATCTGCAGGGCACACACAGGCATCTGAGGCAGTGGGGAAGCAGCAAGGGCACGGCACCCGTGTTTCAGCTTGTCACAACACACAGTAGTTTGGGGATAGTGGAGGGAAATGACGAATCATGTAACCTGTGGCTATGGTTGGACCCACCCTTCTTAAGTCTATAGTAGGTGCTCCACAAGGTACTTGATGGATATTATTTCTTTACAGGCTTACTCACACCAAGCAGGTGTCGAGCCCTTTTGACAGGCGAAGAAATGGGAGGTTCAGAGAAGTAATGTAAGTCCACTTAGGGAATACACCTGGGAAGGGTTTAGATGACACCACTGGACTCCATAGTTCTTTCTACTGTGCACCACTGTCCAGGAACATTGTCAGATGATGTTGAAATGTTTTATGCCCTACTGAATTATAACACTGCTTGTACAAAAATCACTGCCATATTTAAATATGGGAAATATATTTCTTTGTTCCATAAGAGCTAAAGGGGAGATCCTTGTGTTTTTTTTTTTTTTTTTTTTGGTTCATTACTAATAATGGTGGCTTCAATCATCTGCCTGTTTTTAATAATGAATGATATAATTCCCATACTTGTTATTATTATTGCTGTGGGCCTCAGTTTAACCATCTGGAAAAAGCGACACGAGGTTAAGTCACCCCCATGGTTGCTATAGCTCTGGCATTCTAGGTTTCTCTGCTTAAGTGACCCTCCCAGACAGCAAGAAAGCCCATAAATAGTCATGTCATAAAACAGCTCATTTGAACTTTTGAACATTTTGGCTGATTCAAATGTTGGTTGTTTTAGAAGTTTTTAATTCTGTGTTTTAGCCAAAGTATGTTGCAGTAGCACGAGACTGTGTCTTTCAACTTGTAGTGAATGCTTCCTTGCCTCTTGGTTTCCCAGATTCGACTAAGTTTATCTTCCGGGTTAGGGAATAAAACATTAGAACAGTATGTAATACATTTCACATGGCATATAGGCTATATTTACATACAGCATGTAATCAATATATGTTTGCGATTATGTGCGTATTTAACTGCGATAAGAAAGCATGCTAGAAAACTGGGTAATAAATATGACTTCTGGGAATGTCCAAAACCTTACCCACCTCCCCCACTATTCCACAGCCATTGACTAGGGGTCAACTACAGGTGGCTTAGACAATCAGAGGAAAAACAAAGCCAAATATCACCAGACTGGTCCTCAAGGCAGGAATAGGCCATTGGAGCAAACACATAAGAATATGACTACGCATTAAGTTACCATCATGGAAGTATATTCTGACAACATAGAAAAGAGATGGCTAGCTTTATTTATGTATCTTTAGAAGAGATAGGAATTTTAGGAAGTTTCTCCAAAATCCATGTGGCATCTTGAGCCACATCTTGGCTTTTGAGTAAGGGGGCGGGCAGACAAGGACTCCTTTCCATTATCCATCCCTGGGCCTTTCGCTGCCTCCGTTCCAGGCAAATGGGTCTGCATACGCTCTCCCAGAGTTGAACCTTGGCTAATTCTGTACTCTACCTAGAATCCTCACCTCCACCTCCTCACATAGGCTTATCATCCAATTCTGATCCAACTTCACCATAGAGCTTTCTAGATTTCGTCCATAAGAAGTGCTTCTAAGCACCGTAGTATGTGGGACGTTAGGACATTCATTAACTGTACATGGTAGATGGAGGTCTAGCTTTTTCCGCCTTACACTCTAGGCTTCCAGAGGTTGCGGATCACGCCTGCTTTTTCTGCGGTTAGCACAGAGCCTTGGGTATTGCAGACACTCAGGAAATACAGTTTATTGAATGATTACAGTAATGGAGGAACAAGTGAATGTTTGACATGCTGTGTTTCAGCATTTTAAAATTGTCTTTTTTCATTCCTAGAACATGAGAGGGAAACTAGATGATCATGTTCAATATACCCATTGCACAGATGAGGAAAGGGGACTCCAGAAATGACTTGCCCAAATGACTTGCTTTCCACCCTAGACATCACAGCAGAGGGTGTTTCTAGAATTAATACCCACTCATCCTCCTGTTGGGCAGAGCCACACCTCTTGGCGTCCAGCTCTTATGGTCTTGTCCTTCTCGGTACTGTAAGCACTTTCTTCCCCGGGAGAGGGTGAAGTGAGAGCTTGTAAACACCTCTGCATGGAGTTCTCCGCCAAAGACTGATGCTGTTGTTGCTTGTTTGTAATCCTCCCTCACCGGCTGCTGGTGGAGGCTGTGGTCTGGAGGCCAGAGGGAGCATAAGGGTTTGCCTCAGGTGAGATCATTCTCATTTCTTTGAAGGTCTGTGAAATGTAATTTTTTTTTTCCCCCAGATAGATCAGCCAGTGAGTGCAATGTTGGCCAGGACTAGCGCTATCTGAGGCACTCAGGCATCTATTTCCTTGAGAAGTCTGGCACCCCCTTCCCACAGGACCCTTTGCTTCCCACCTGCTTAGCCACTCCGTCACTGTTTCCAACCATCTCCTCTTCTTGGGATTCATCTAGTGTGCTAACTCCTGTCCAGAAATCCCACGTGACTCTACAATTGCCAGAAATCTCTCCCAAAGCAACGAAAGAGCTCTGAGCCAACACAATGGGCTAGTCATTCAATTAGATTCATTTGTTTAGAGTCAAGGTTCCCCAACTTGCTGTCTGCAAGTCTTTGTTCGGTGATCTTCGCCATCTCTTCTCATTTTTCCTGAGACAACAAAGGACAAAAAAGCTCAAAGACATCATTGAATGAGTCTCAAGCTAGAGCAGAGCGTTCCTGCTTGATGGGTTAGGGCAAATCAGCTGCATAATCAACCAGTAGGTAGACTGTCTGGTCAGCATTGCAGAGGGGATGGAGCTTTGGTTTAGAGTGGGTTTCGAGTCCTGATGCACATCAACTTACTGTGTGACTTTGGGCAAATCCCTTCCTTGCCTTAGCTCTCAGTGTCCTGGTTACCAAACGAGCCACGCCTAAGGATCTTAGCAACTCAAAAATTTTTAGTAAAATACTCAAAGAAATAATTTAGAGGGCTCTGAGACTTTGCACATTCAATTCCCTGTCCCTAGAACAATCTTCCTCCCACTTTGTCCACACGGCAAATTCCTCTATTATTTCTCAAGATTTACTCTGTAGTACTTCCAAGAACATTTCCATGACCTTCCATTAAGAGAGAAGGGCCCCTCTCTATTCTCACCCAGACTTTCATTTTTCATTTTTAGCACATTATATACTTTACCCCATTAGACCATGAACACTTTGAGGGTACGCACCATGTCTTTCCTCTGCTTATTAACAGATCTGTTCATGGTTGGTTCTTACGCCATGTCACTTGCTAATTATTGTGAATATCATTACTGCACATCATGGTTCTTAGAATGGCACAGACCCACAGTAGATTTAGGAGGTATACAACAAAAAACCCCAAGTTTCTTGGAATGATTTACTTGATGATTGGAGACTTTATTACTATCACTGATTTACTCATCTATTCCCCCACTGAGACTGTGAGAGCTCCTTCGGGACAAGAACTCGGCTTTCCATCCCAAAGCACTGGGAAGTCAGTTAATGTTCCCATGAAATGACTGACTAACTGATTGACTAGACGATGGAAAAGGCATAAGACTGGTAGTTCGGGGTTTCATCAGTTTGACCATTTACAAGGTGAATTACCTTGAGGAAATCATGTCCCTTCTTTGAAATTCAGATTCCCCATTAGTGAGACAGATAAAAATTCCTATTCCTAGTACCTCCCAGTGTTGGTTTAAAGATGAAGGAAGAGAGTGAAAGAGAAACTGTGATGATTTAGACAGATTTGGGGGATAATGAATGATTTTTTCCCCCTAAAATCCCCATCAAAAGCTCACACTTTGCATCACTGAATTGCACTTATGGAAGCATGAATTCCACGTTCTATCTGAAGTATTTCTCCAGGGTTAACAGGGGAGAAAAGGGAGTTAAAGCCACCTGGTGCTGTCTTGTCTTCTAACACTTTCTAAAGAGGGCTTCTTAGCTGGAGGCCCAAGGGGAAGAGGGAGGGTTCAAAAGATTAGCATTGACCCATG